CACCGGACCCTGAATCCTGCTGCCTTGCATTAGGACGCACTGCTCACTCCTCTGATGCAGAAATAATTTTTACTGATCCTCTACGTTTCTTAGACTATGTCTTAGAGTACTTACCATGTTTGTTTCTGTAACTAGCAATAGTTAAAATGGGCTTCATCCAGGTTCTTAACAGAGACCAACAGTGATTTCAAACAAGGTAATTATGATTCACAATATTTTTTTAAAAAGAAGTACTAACTTGGTAAAAATTAAAAGAATTGACTGTACTTTTTTTTTAACCAAGTATTGTACAACAATGTAGTCCCAGATTGACTAATGAAAATTTGGATCAGAGTAAAATAGGTAACAGAATATACCTAGTAATATAACAAAAATTACTGGCAGATAGATGACTAGGACCAGTAAGGGTATTCAAAGTTACCGACCATGAATTTGCATTGAAAATGGCGTTGAAAATCGGAATACACTAGTGGGGAAGACTAGCTAAAAATGGCTGGCTCAGCATTATTTGGCAAGTTGAAGGTTGACGTTTTGAATGGAGGGCATGAGGTCAGTTCCCAACTGGCAGTTGAAGTTGGCCCCCTCTCCTTATCAGCTTCTGACATCACCATGCAACGGTGACCCACGACCAATCCCAACAGACAAACACCTTCTCCAATCCACACAACTTACTTCTCATCCTTTCCGATCACCCGTGGTCCTCTTCTTCTCTTGATTTATTTTACTATTTGTCTTGTTTGCTAAATTCTTACCCATCTATCATCTCTCTCTGTCTGTTTAAGTGCTCTTTTTTTTTTCATTTTCCGGGCCCTTTCTTCTTTTTTCTCCTTTTTTTTTTCTCTCTTAATACTTGAATTTTATTTCTTTTATCTGTTTCTCATTTGACTAACATAATGGAGTCAAACAGTAGCGATTGGACCAAGTCAGAGATGGAGAAAATTGTACTCTGGCTTGAGGATCCAACTAATCTCCGGCGAACTCAAAAAGGTTCTGGCGAAACCAAAAAGCATTGGATGAGTGTACTTGCATCAACAATCCCATCGCGCTCCGATGCTCAGGTCGGATACAAATTTGACAATTTGAAGAAGTCTTACCGTGAGACTGTCAAACTGGCTGATCAATCAGGATTGGGGCTTGAAGAGAAGGATCTTGGTAATAGAAATGTTTCCTCTTTACACGGTAAGTCATGAAAGGTACGACATGTAAATAAAGCTAACTTTAATAATATGAAAATACAGAAAAACTTGAGAAGAAATGTCCTTTCTTTGTACGCCTAGATACAATTTGGGGTTCTCGACCCAATATTCGTCCTCCGAGTCACTTCGTTTCCGGTCCTTCCCACGATCAAACAAGAATTGCTGCTGAAAGTCTCGTTCAAGCACTTTCTGCTACCCAAGATCCAGTTGTAGTAAATGACTATAATGAGGATGATCGACAACTACCGGGGACTCTTTCTCAATCATCATCAGTAATTCATGACAGGTAATCTAAATTTCTTTTTTATTTCTTATTATAGTGGTTTTTTAATTTCTTTATTTCAATGGAAAATATTTATTTCGTTCTTATCTTGTACAATTGCTTTTGATCTTACATATTTGTTTTATATCATTTCAATATTTAATTAAGTTTTTAGAATTAAATCTTCATATTATTGTGGTGAACTGAATAATTTTGAATTGCACTATTTAAAAAGAAGACTGACTAACGACTCTGATTAGAGAAAGTGAACTCCCACGATACGATCGGTCTTCATCACTCGTAGAAGAACCAACAACCGATCAACCTTTAGGAAATCGGATAGAAAATGACCCAATCCCTCACCATCCGGATCCAATCACCACCGAGACAGAGAGAAGAAAGAAATGTGGAAAAGAAAGAGAGTTTCCCGTTCCCGAGGATGAGGATGCTGAAGATCGGAGACATGGAAAGAAAAAGTCCGCAGCAAGTCTTGGGGATGCTATTTCAATAATGGCAGATAAGAAATACGGGTTTCTGGAAAGGCAACTGGTACAGCAGGGGGAGATTCGAAAAGAGGAACTGGAGTTGGAACGAAAAAGAGTAGAAATAAGGGAGAAAGAATTGGAGGTAGAACGTGATAGGTGGAATATAATGATGGAAAGGGTGGTTGGACTTCAGAAAGAGCGGGGAAATGGTTCGGTTCCATAGGACTTGGAATAAGGATTATTAAGGAGTAGGAATTGTATGTATCGGATGGATAAAATGTACGGTTCGGATTGATTCGGATTGGAAATTGTCTGTTGGATAAGTTGGGCTTGGATGTGGTTTAGTGTTCTGGTATATAGTATATTGGAAGTGAAATCAATATCGCTATTGAATAAGAACTGGACTTAGATCGTACCTAATCTGCTTGATTTCGATACAAATATAGGCGCATTCGATCTCTCCACTCCATTCCTGCCGCTCTCTCACTATCTAATCCAATATCTTGGTCGACTTCATCGATTTCTAGCTCATCTTGAGGGATTGCAAAATGTGGCCTTTATATTGTACTATCTTCTTTCTCTTGACTGAGAAAGTTATGTAAAACTATACACGACAATATCCAGCAAATTGCTTTAGTGTGATCCTCTTTCCGGCGAATGTAAAGAGGTAGTTGTTTTAGGGATCGGAAGCGGTTCTTTAGTACACCAATTGCATGCTCAATCTTGACCCGAGCATAAGCATGCATCCAGTTATAGGACTTGTAGCCATCAATAGGCTGACTAGCTAGTGGCTCCTTATAAGGTGTCATACAGCGCCTGGTGATTCGATATATTTTGTCTCCTAGTAGGTACTCATCCGGCATCGAAAAGAAATAACCTGGAGTCTGGAAAAGAGGTGTATTTCCAAAGGCAACAGGATCACCTACGGAAGCCGGATATCCAGCAGAGGCGAAGGTAAAATATAAATTATTATCACAAACAACTTGGATATTGAGAGCATATACCTTTTTCCGGTTCATATATGTTTCCCCATGAAAGCTGGGTGCAAACATTAAGCCAATATCTGTTCCATCAAGAAATCCAACATAACCAGGAAAATGGCTCTCATTTTCTACCTCCTCTCTCATTACCCGGTATTCATGGGATCCAGGCTTTGGCCAAATTAAGTACTCAGGAAGTAGTCTCAATAGTGCTGTCATTACTCGATATCTGTACAAATAGGCGGTCCCCTCTCCAATTTGAAGCTGCTCAGAGAACTGAACTGTTGAGTTTCCAATTTGTCCAAGAATATAGAGAGTTGTTGCTAACTGAAGTACTGTATCCGCTTGGGGGTTTTGGGATTGGTTTTGAAATATTGGATCAAACTTGATTCGCTCGTTAAGAGTATAAAATGCCTTATGGCTCATTCGAAAGAGGGAACGAAAGCGATCTTCTGATACATTGATAAACTAGTTACATATTAACAAAATATCCCATTTAAATCTACCTTCAATCAGAGAGATATTTTTCTTAACATACATTGGACCAAAAGCCGAACCCACGGACAAGAGGTACTCTTGGAGCCAGATACCGGATGTTTGGTATTGCCATCAAGAGCATTTCACACAACTCTTGAATATCTTCAGTAAGAAGACTGTTCTCTGGTTCCTCCTCTTCACCAAGAGCCGTACTTATTGCAACCACGGGATTTCCAAGTCCATTCCGTTGATTTCTCAACAAAGTTCCTTCCTCTGTAGCAGGATTAAGGCAAAGGTCAAGGAGGAGCGAAACGCCAATCAACTCGCTTGACTCCTAGTATACGACTTGTTTGAAGGAGGTTCGGGGCATGGGATAATGTGGATCGTTGTTCAATGCTTGTGGCTTTTGGTATCTCAGAAGTAGGAATATGAGGCGAGTCAAGAATCTATGCATATCGCTCCGTCATCTACTTGAATCTACACTGGTATGATTGAGTTGAGGCTAACTCAAAAGGTAGCAAGTTCCACACAATGTTCTTGGCTTCGGTTTGGCCACACATAGTATCCTCAGAGTTCAGGCTACCATCAGTTTTCATTGATAGATTTGATTGGCTAATTTATCCTTAGTGCAACATGTGATAGTGGCGAAAACCTTTGACTCAAGTCTACCGTTATTAACTTTGAATACCCTAAGTATATGATCAACAAAAATGAACCTGGAAGTCACGTAACCAGGAATATTTCTTATCAATATATATAATTCAGTTTATTTTCTGTCTTATCCATTATTCTGCTCCTGCCCAGGAGGTGTATCATATATTTTTGCCTAATTCATTATGTCTTGGCATGTCTTGGCACAACCGGGATCGGTAACAACAGAATTGCCACCCGTGGATTACGCACTTTGCACAATAGAGAGTTTGCGCAGGTAGACCTAGGTGGGGGTTATTAACGATGTCACTAGGGGTTGCCACTCGCATCAACCGCCCATCAATCTCCCGACAATTGTTGAGTTTCTTAAATTCCATGTATTTAAGAGGCCAATCCATCAGCCAATTCTTAGCTTTCATGAAATTTCTCTTCTCAGGATTGTCCTTGAGAAGAATAGCTACAAAATCATACCTGAATAGAGGCATAAAAGTGCAGTTCAAGTGGGCATTTGTGGTCCTCAATTCCAGGTCCGATTTTCGGGTTTTTACACCTTGACCAGGTGGGACCAAAGAAGCAGGTGGCCAAGCCTTATTGTTAACTTATATTAACACCACCTAGGTCTCACTGCGCAAACTCTCTAATGAGAGTCTACGAGTAGTTACATATCAGTTTAATTATGCTCCACCATAACTGACTGATGTGCATTGTGTCCAAGAGGACGGTCAGGGCCTAAGCCATCGAATTCGGGGTACCGGTATTTTGCCAGTTTTTCCCGCGCCCGGATGTAAACAAAGGTATGAATACCGTCACTTGCTATCATACCGTATTGGGGGTGTAGGAAGGTCCAGGGCTCGCTTCGCCGACAGTATCATAATATTATCATAGTATCATATCGCCCCTGATGGTGTTCGCCCTCCCTTTCACCCTTTCTCCTAACCTCTGCTTCTACGCCGGTAGGAGGTTGAAGCTGCTTTCCCAGCTCCTGTGCTATTCGCTTCGACTGCGTAACCACGGTACCGTGACCAATTGTACCTTGCAGTTCTGGAAACATCGGTGGTCTGTGTCTGGCTACGGTACTAGGACTGCGCTGGCACAAACTCCGTTTGAACAAATCTTTCCTCTAGCTCTCAGCACCCGAGTCGAGCGCCTCATACTGTACCTCGGTTTGCCTTCGGGATATCTATAAAGGCGCGTTTTCGTTGCTTTTGTCTACTGCCTCTGCCCTTCGATTTTTGCGCAGTATCCCTTTCCCCATTTTTTTCTTTGCCACCTTTGGTGAGGCTTATACCGGTAATAACACTGGGCTATCATCGCTCCCCCCTCTGCTCCCGTCTCTACCAATCCACCCTCTGATAAGAGTTTTGAACTCATCCTGCAGCTCACATTTCTCCTGGCCCGCACAGAAGCCTATCCAGCAACCTTTCTCGAACCAACACACCGCGCATCCACTGCGAATCACGACTGCCATGTTCTTCATTCACGAGCTCAACCGCACCATTACGCTTCATCCATCCTACTTCGGACCCCATATGAGAGACTACCTCATTCACAAACTTCACGAGGATGTCGAGGGCTCATGTACTGGGCGCTATTTCATCATCTGTGTGATTGAATATGAGAACATTACCCTTGGGAGAATCATTCCTGGGAAGGGCGACGCAGAATTCACCATCACTTACAAAGCTGTTGTCTGGCGCCCATTTAAGGGTGAGACTGTATGATACATTCTTCTCAGAGCAGCTGCATCTGCTAACATCCATTAGGTTGACGGTGTGGTTAGTTCGGTCAATAAGATGGGCTTCTTCGCTGAAGTTGGTCCATTAACTGTTTTCGTTTCGAGCCATGTAAGTATGTTGGCTGTGGTTTTACTCGATCCTTCTCACTAGTTAGCTTATTCCCCGCGACATCAAATTCGACCCGACCTCCAACCCGCCCCAATTCTCGGACAATGGCGATCAGATTATCAATAAGGGCGCCCATATTCGCATCAAGCTTATGGGAACTCGGAGCGACGTGGGTAAAATGCATGCAATTGGCAGTATCAAAGAGGTATTTTACTGTCCCCCTTGAAACGTGCTCTTCAGTGCTCAAATTTTATCGCAGGATTATCTAGGGTATGACACTCAGTTTTGTGGAAACGTTGGTGTTAAGCTAAGATGATCCCAGGGTTTTGTGAACAAATGGCGTTTCTGTGTTGCCCGCGGTGCTTTGGGTGTTACTCCTGCTGACATGGTAGAAGGCCTGAAAAAAACACCACAACTTAATTCCTACTATTTAGTCTTGAACCGCCTATAGATCCCTTATCCCTTGATTCTTCATTCGTTGGATTTAAGCTTGACCCACTTCTCTCATGCGTTGGTACAGCATTGCGTTTCCCTTTCATTTATTCCCTTCTTGTCTTTAGTACCTACTCCTGGGAGTGGGAAGGAAACCTACCACCGAGATAAATTGAACAAAGCAAGAGGCCTAGAGACATTGAAAGTTAGATTCTGATGCCGTTGGGATAGAATAATCAGGCATGACACCGGCTAGGTTTCCGGAAAGAGTGCAAGCAATAATAGCTTCTCTATTCCTTCTTGGTACCTGGAGGTGAAGATTTCAAGGTGCCATAGAGTACAATACAAGACCCTTTCAGATCAATATCATACTGCGACATTTTAGGTTACTCATGAACTACAAGAGTACTACATAAGCTGCGGGCAATATGATATGATTCACGAGAATGTTCTCGTCTCGTTCTTGCCGTCTCTAGACCCTCGAGGGATTCGGAGCTTTAGGTTGAACTATTAGCAGTGCTGTTTGGAGAGAGATCTTATATTCAGCGCACTAAGGGCAGAGCCGTGTGTGGCGTGTGCCTCAATTCTTCTGATAATGATATGGTAAAATGGTAGCAGAATCAAGGAATGAGGAGGAAAAAGGTTGAGATGAAGAGGGAAAATCAGTAAATTCAATTAAGAAATTGATGATTGTTGAATTATTATAGTAAAGGTTGAGGTCCAGTTTGGTACATTATTTTTGTGGCATAAAAGTATCTCATAGTATAAATTGTGGCAAGTAAAAACTGTTTTATATAGGTGTGTGTTAAGGAGGAACCAAATTATTCTGATATTGTAATAATCCTACATATGTAATTCTTGACGAACATATATGTATAGTTATTCAAACAAGAGGTCTGGAGGGTTGTTGGTAGAAACAGGAAGGTATCTATACTAATAATAGTAAGTGCTTCCTAAAATATAACAATTTTGTAATCACATTAAATCAGTTCCACTACAAGTAAGGTAAAATTATACCTTATTCTATAATTATGTCCGTGTATATAATAATATTATAGTACAAAATTAAAATAGTATTAACAGGAGTTGTAAAGTAACAGATAATCTACCTATCCAATGTCAAGCCATAAATGTTATTTATACCTAACATACTTAATGAAAAAGTTGATTGTAACTGGGAAATTAACTACTATGTACACAGAAAATCAGAATTTTAACTCTGGTATTTCATAACTAGCAAGTATTTAAAAAATAAGATTGTGAAATTAATGATAAAGATAATTATAGAAAGAAAGAAAGAAACAGAATGAAGATAACACCTAAAGTTGAAATACTAAACTAATAGTCTTAGAAATTATAACATTGATTGCCTAGGTAGAACAGAGCAGCTGGGTCTATCATATTTTTAGCTTTTAAGATAGAGTAGTTCCTAAGAAATAGTAAATTTTGTAGAGTTTGTACAGATAAATATATATTTTAACACTACTTGATAGATTTTAAGAAAGTACTTATAGGAGCTTAATTTATATAACTTGGTTTTTGAAGCTACTGGAAAGATTCAAATATCTAATTTAATTTACTAGATATTATAACAGAAGAGGGGTGAAGAAAATCAATTCTGCAACTGGTTAGAATTCGTTTTGGTTACAGGTAACCAAGTTTCCTATTATATCCAACTATCCTGTGGTATGTATCAATCTTAAAAACATCCAAAAACCAGGAAAGCATATAAAAACAATAAGTAACAAAAAAGACAAAACTGTAATACACTTTAGGATTCTAGAAACTAAAATGTATAAATTCAGAATTAAGGACTATTTTATAAAAAGTATGATTCTGCTTACAATAATATAACAATTTGTTCACTTAGACCCTTGAGAAACAAAACAAAAAGTAGTCAAATATACTCAGAAACTTCTTTACTCTTTTGTACATGTATGTATAAGCATTTCTCTTACAAACATAACTACAGCTACTTTACAGGAGTGTTCGTGATCTGAGATATATTTTTATTGAGTGAGGGGTTCTGCTATAGCGGCCATGAGATTGTCAGTAGATATGTCCATACCACATAAACTCTCTATGATTAGGATCTATAGTACTTGAGATCCCTGAAAACTGCTAGTACAAACAGCCCTGAAAGAGAGCACTAAAATGCACTATGAGACAGTACTAAATTGCACTATGAGACAAATGCCCTAAAAGACAGCACTAAGCTAGAGTAGGTTGAAGGAGATAAAATAAGAGCAGACAAGAAAAATAAATAGGAAAGGGTAATGGGGTGAGTGGTGAGCTTGGATGCTGGAAATAGAAAATGTAATATGTAAGGGGAGAATAAAGTTACCCTACCTTCATAAATATGAAACAGTTACCCTGCCTGAGCTCAAATAATTATCCTACACATGCTATTTGGTGGACTGTTCAGACTCGGACAGGGCAAAATATTGTGCCGCCCCTGTCGGTGTCTAAGACCGGGATGAGTAATGGGCTGGCACAGTATTCTTGGGTGATGATGTGTGTAGGTACAATCACGCAGCCAAGTCTGGCTATGGTCTGAAGTTTGTACCTCTGCAAGTTTGTACTAATTAACAAAATTTGCTTATTAACCTGTATCTCAAACACTTGCAGGGGGGGCACAACATTTTGCACTGTCTTAACAGTCCAGGAATTAAGTAGTTACCCAACCTAAAGCAACTTCAATTCATACTAGAAAATAGCCATGGAATCGTTTTACGATTATATTGTGTGAATCAAGTCCTTCTTATCAAGTTAATTTGTGGTTGACAGATAGAGATATTCTGTCTGATGAGTGTAACTATGTACTGGAACATAGTGTAACAATTCTTAATCAATCAGATAAGTAAATATACAGTGTTAGATTACATCTCCTTCACAAGATACTTTCTGATATGGGTAAAGGGTTGGATTACATTGGATTGCTATCACCTTTATCTGACTTAAACTATAGTCTTTATAGTTAATATCAGAATAGGTTACTACTACATGATCAGGTATGATAGAATTATGAAGAGTTAAATGTGATGCTTCAGAGATATGAACCAGAGTTAAATTCTGTACAGTGACATGTATTTCAAGTAGTCCTTGATCAAATGTGTGGGTACAGCACTATCTTAATAACTTTGTACGAAAGTATGACACAGTAGTAAGAGTATACTGCGGGCACGCTAAGCGAGGAGTAATTTTGTATGAAGGTAGATTGGTAGTAGTTCTTGTCCTTAATTCTTTTTAAGCGAGATGGGTGGTAACCCCTATTTATACATGTACGCATCCTCCGCGTAACTAAGAGAAATGTAAGGGAAAACATAAGTGTCGACGTGTTTGACCGTAACATAAGTAGGAAAAACGTAAGTGCGAACGTGTTTGACCCAAAAGAACTGGTAAGGAAATCCCATAAAACATGCGTAAATCTAAGATGGTGTGAATGGATAATTAGAACATAATTGTAAATCAAATGACCGATAACCGTGCATGATGATGCATAAAATGTAAGAAATAAACAGGAACACCAGATAAGAAAATCACGCTATAATTTCCTAATCGTATCATGAAATATCAATGAAATATACATAATACATACTCCGCTGTAGTAATGTCCTTGAACTAGAAATAATACTAAGTAGAGAAATATATGATATTATCAAGGAGAATATACATATGAAACGAATTAGCAAATTCAACACTTCCCCTCATTATCTACAGCCCAAAAGTCCCATTAATCGTTCGTGAGCCGGTTTCGCTAAGATTTTTGTACAGATGTCGGCAAGGTTATCAGAGGAGGCAACCTTCAGGAGTGTGAACGAGTCATTATTGATTTCTTCATGTATTTTGTGGTAGTGTATATGGATATGTTTCGTTCGGTCGTTTAGCTGATGGTTTCTCGCGGGAAAGTTTGCGCCGGTATTATCTACATGTAAAGCGATCGGTAAGTCGAGACGGATATCTTTGAGACCCTTTCGGAACCATTGGATGTGTCTTGCGGCAAGTGACATTGCGATGTATTCGTCTTCGGTTGTTGATAGTGCTACCGATGCTTGTTTCTTCGAGCGCCATAAGATGCATGCACCTTTGAGAAGTGCAATATATCCCGAGAAGGAGCGGCGGGTATCGAGGCAAGCAGCGAAGTCCGTGTCAATGTAGGTATCAATAGCGTTTGTCGCGTTGTAAGGGTAGAAAAGTCCAATGTGTTTTGTTCCATTAACATATCGAAGAACATGTTTAGCGGCCTTGAGGTGTTGTTCGGTAGGACAAGCAGAAAATTGAGAGAGGAAAGAAGTTATGTACGCTAGATCGGGTCTTGTACCAGTAGTCAAATAAATAAGTGATCCTATCATCGATTGGTACATGGAGGGGTCTGGAATACATGTGTCTTCAGTCCTTTTGGTAAGTTGAATGCCTTTCGGTAAGGGTATAGAAACGCTATTAGAGTTTTCCATTGCGAATGGTTTGAGGATTGACTTGATGTATTGCTTTTGGGTAAGATGTGTTCAAATGTGTGGGTATGGCACTATCTTAATAACTTTGTACGAAAGTGCGACACAGTAGTAAGAGTATACTGCGGGCACGCTAAGCGAGGAGGAATTTTGTATGAAGGTAGATTGGTAGTAGTTCTTGTCCTTAATTCTCTTAAGCGAGATGGGTGGTAACCCCTATTTATACAGGTGCGCATCCTCCGCGTAACTAAGAGGAAATGTAAGGGAAAACATAAATGTTGACTTGTTTGACCATAACATAAGTAGGAAAAACATAAGTGCGAATGTGTTTGACCCTAAAGGACTGCCAAGGAAATCCCACAAAAACATGCGTAAATCTAAGATGGTGTGAACGGATAATTAGAACATAATTGTATATTAAATGACCGATGACCATGCATGATGATGCTTAAAATGTGAGAAATAAACCCGAACACCAGATAACAAAAGCAGGCCATAATCCCCTAATCATATCATGAAATATCAATGAAATATAAGTAATACATACTCCGCTGTAGTAATGTCCGTGAACTAGAAATAATACTAAGTAGAGGAATATACCATATTATCAAGGAGAATATACATATGAAACGAATTAGAAAAGTCAACACTTCCCCTCATTATCTACAGCCTAAAAGTCCCATTAATCATTCATGAGCCGGTTTCGCTAAGATTTTTGTGCAGATGTCGGCAAGGTTATCAGAGGAGGCAACCTTCCGGAGCGTGAACGAGTTATTATCGATTTCTTCCCGTATTTTGTGGTAGTGTATATCGATGTGTTTCATTCGGTCGTTTAGTTAAATGGTTTCTCGCGAGAAAGTTTGCGCCGGTATTATCCGCATGCAAAGCAATCGCTAAGTCGTGACGGATATCTTTGAGACTCTTTTGGAACCATTAGATTTCTCTTGCGGCAAGTGACATTGCGACGTATTCGGCTTTGGTTGTTGATAGTGGGACCGAGGCTTGTTACTTCAAGCGCCATGAGATGCATGCACCGTTGAGAAGTACAAGGTATCCCGAAAAAGAGCGCCGAGTATCGAGGCAAGCAGCGAAGTTAGCGTCAACGTAGGTATCGATAGCGTTTGTCGCATTGTAAGGGTAGTAGAGTCCAATGTGTTTTGTTCCGTTAACATATCGAAGATTGTGTTTAGCGGCCTTAAGGTGTTGTTCGGTAGGGCAAGCAGAAAATTGGGAGAGGAAAGAAATTGTGTACGCTAGATCGGGTCTTGTACCAATAGTCAGATACATAAGTGATCCTATCATCGATTGGTAAATGGAGGGGTCTGGAATGCATATGTCTTCGGTCCCTTTCGTAAGTTGAA